TCACTAAATTATGAATTTTAGTCTTCGCGAATTTATTCGCCAATGAGTCCAAACCAATGTTACAGAATGCACTAGGCGGATTAGGCGCTTGATCCAGCACCTAGCGCCTAAACGCCTAGGCGTTTGGCTATTTTTTAAATTATTTAACTATAATAATTCATAAAAATATGAATTAAATTCATATAAATTTGCCCAAAAAAAGATAGCAATCTTAAATCCATAATAAACCATGTATAGTTAAATACTAAATAGCCAAAATAATAACAAGGTTATAGAAAGCATGAATTTTGGCCAAAAATCATGGGTTATAGCTCATGAAAACGTGAATTTTGGCCTCCGAAAAATTATGTATCAATAGGTTGAAACTACTATAAATTGTCAAAAATCATGGGTTACATAGCTCATGAAATCGTAAATTTTGGACTCTGTAAATTTTTTTCCCTTAGGTCGAAATAAGTGAATGTGGAAAAATATCGTGGATTATAACTCATTAAAACTTGAATTTTCAACTCACAAAACTATTTATCCAATTGGTCAAAACGATTAAAAATTATCAAAAATCATGAGTTATAGCATGCAAAATCGAGAATTTTGACCACCCAGAAATTTTTGCTAATGGGTCTAAACAACTAAAATAGCAAAAAATCATGGGTTATAACTCAAGAAATGGTTAATTTTAGACTCTTCAAAATAACTTGCCAATAATTCGACACGACAAAAATGACCAAAAATTTTAGGTTATAACTCACGAAATTATGAATTTTGACAACCTCAATTATTTACCAAAGGATCAAAATGCCCAAAATTTGCTAAAATTTATGAGTTATAGCTCAAAAAATCGTGAAAATTAGCCACTGCAAAATTCTTTACCACTGGGTCGAAACGACTAAAATGCTTTAAAAATTAAGGGATATAGCTCACGCAATAGTAATTTTTTTGGCCATCCAAAAAATTATTTGCTAATGGATCGAAACGACTTAAAATAGCAAAAAATCGTGGGTTATAGCGCATAAAATCATAGATTTTGGATTCCCCAAAATTATTTACTAATGGGTCAAAACAATTAAAATGACAAAACAATGAGTTACGTAACTTATGAATTCGTAAAATGCGGCCTCCGTGAAAGTATTTACCAATGAATAGAAACAATAAAAAATGGCGAAAATCATAGCTTATAGTTCATGAAATCATGAAATTTGAACTCCACAAAAATCCTAAGTCGAGCTTATGAATTCTTGAATTTTGATCTCCACAAAATTATTTGTCAATAGGACGAAACGACTAAAAATGGCCAAAAACTGTGGGTCATAACTTAGGAAATCGAGTATTTTGATAGCCACGAAATTATTTGCCAAAAGAACGAAACAATTAAAAAGTAATTAAAAAACATCAGCTATATCTCATGAAATCGTGAAATTTGGCCACCGTGAAATTCTTTGACAGTGGGTCAAAACTATATCGTTAGTTATAGCTTACTGAATCGTGAATTTTAAACTTCCCGAAATTATTTACCAATAAGTCTAAAACAACTAAAATGACCAAAAATCAAGGGTTGTAGTTCATGAATTCCTAAATTTGCGACTTCGCAAAATTATTTATAAATGGTCAAGAAGAGTAAAAATCGCCAAAAATCATAAGTTATAGCTCACGAACGCCCATCTCCTTATTCTGGAGTGACTGTCAGAAAATTTTGACCGCCAAAAAATTATTCGCTAATGGGTTTAAATGAATAAAAACAATCAAAAATCATGAATTATAGCTCATTAGAACATGAATTTTGACCTTCACAAAATTATTTCTTAATAGGTCGAACTAATTAAAAATGGCCATAAATAACAGGTTATAGGTCATATATTTGTGAATTTTGACATCAGCAAAATTATTTGCCAATCGGTTAAAACGACTAAAAATTGCAAAAAAATCATGGGTTATAGCTCATGAAATCATGAATTTTGACAACCACCAAAATTCTTTGCAAATGGGTCGAAATGACTAAAAATGGGTAAATAATAATGGATTATAGCTCATGAATTTCGGGAATTTTAGCCACCGGGAAATTATTTATCCAATAAGTGGAAACGGTTAAAAATGGTCAAATATTATGCTTCATAGCTCACGAAATTATAAAATTTGGCTATCGCAAAATTATTTATGCAATTAGTCGAAACGACTGAAAAAGATAAAAAAATCATGAATAACTCACGAAATCGTGAATTTACCCAATACGAAATTATTTGTCAATTGGTCAAAATGACTAAAAAAGAAAAAAATATGAGTAATAGCTCATGAATTCGTAAATTTGGCCTTCGTAAAACTATTTGTCAATTGGTGGAAACGACTATAATGGCAACAAATCGTGGATTATAACTTATGAAATCATGAATTTTGGACCCTGCGAAATGTTTTCCATGAGGTCGAAATGAACAAAAAATGGACAAAAATCGTGTTATAGCTCATAAAAATATGAACTTTGGCAATCGTGAAATTATTTGCCAATGGTTCGAAACGACTTAAAATAGACAAATTTTATGGATCAAAGCTCATTAAAATCGTGAATTTCGAACTCCACAAATTCTTTTTATCAATAGGTTGAAACGACAAAAAATGACCAAAAGTTGCTTAAGAATTCATGAATTTTAGCCTCCGCGAAATTAATTGACAATGGTCGAAACAACCGAAAATAGCCAAAAATCATAGCTAATAGCTTGCAAAATCGTGAATTTTGGCAACCACAATTTTTTGCCAATGGGTCGAAACAACTAAATTTTACAAAAAATAGTGAGTTACATCTCATAAAAAAGAGAATTTTTGCAACAGCAAAATGTTGTACTAATTGGTCGAAACCGCTAAAATTGGTCAAAAATCATGGATTATAGCTCACGAAATCGTGAATTTTTGTCACCGCGAAATTATGTTAATGGATCGAAACAACTTAAAATGTTAAAAAATCGTGAGTTATAGTTCATGAAACTATGAATTTTAGAGTCCGCAAAATTATTTGCCAAAGGGTCGAAATGATTAAAAATGACCAAAAATCATGGGTTATTTATAGCTCATAAATTCCTAAAATTTGGACTTCACAACATTATTTACAAATAGGTTGAAATGAATAAAATAACCAAAAATTATGATTTATTGCTCACGAATTATGAATTTTGGCCACCGAAAAATTATTTGCCAATGGGTTTAACCGAACAGAAATAGTTAAAATTTTATAACTCATGAAAAATGTGAATTTGAGCTTCCGAAAAATTATTTAACAATAGGTCGAAACGACTAAAAATGGTCAAAAACCATGGGTTATGGATCATGAAATTGTGAATTTTAGACTCAACAAAAATTTATCCCTTGGTTCGAAATGAACGAAAATCGACAAAATTAATGGGATATAGCTCATAAAAACATGAATTTTGACCATCGCGAATTATTCGTCAATCGGTCAAAATGACTTAAAATGGCCAAAAAATTATAAGTTATAGCACATGAAATATTAAATTTTAGACTCCGCGAAATTATTTGTCAATGTGTCGAAATTAGAAATTGCCAAAAATCATAAATTTCAGCTCATAATTCATGAACGTTAGCATCCACGAAATTATTTGTCAACGGGTCGAAACGACTAAAATGGCTAAAAATTATGGGTTATAACTTATGAAAAGGTGAATTCTAGCAACCACTAAAATATTTGCTAATTGGTCGAAACGAATAAAAATTATCAAAAATCATGGGTGATAGCTCATGAAATCGTTAAATTTGACAACCGCGAAATTCTATCTATGGATCAAACAACTAAAATGATCAAAAATCATGGTTATAATTCACGAACTCATGCAAAACTATTTGTCAATGGATCAAAATGACTTAAAGTGGTCAAAAATCGTGGATTATTGCTAATTAAATTGGGAATTTTGATCTTCGCGAAACTTCGCAAATTTTTTTCCCTTGGGTCAAAAAAATTAAAATTGCCAAAAAATCATGAGTTAGCTCATGACTTCGTGAACTTTGACCTCCCTGAAATTACTTGCTAATGTGAGTTGTAATTTCGTGAAATCATGAATTTTAAATTCCGCAAAATTATTTGTCAATAGGTTGATACTACTAAAAAAATCGTAGGTTACCTCATGTTTTAGTGAACTTTAGCCTCCGCGAAATTATTTACCAATGAGTCAAAACGAAACGACTAAATATAGCCAAAAATCATGAGTTGTACTCATGAAATCGTGAATTTTGAACTCCGCGAATGTTTTTCTTCGGTCAAAATGAATGAAAATGATAAAAAATCGTGAATTATAGCTCATGAAAACATGAATTTTGGACTCTATGAAATTATTTTCCAATAGGTCGAAACGACTAAAAATTGTAAGTTACAGCTTACGAAATCGTGAACAAAATATGGTCGAAAATCATGGATTATAGCTCACGAAATTTTAAATTTTGATCACCATAAAATAATTTGCCAATTGGTCATAACGACTTAAAATGGCCGAATATCGTATGTCATAGCTCATGAAATCGTGAATTTTGGACTTCACAAACTTATTTATCAATGGCTAAAACAACTAAAACGGCCAAAATTGTTGGTTATAATTCATAAAATAGTAAATTTTGGACTTTGCAAAAAAAAAATCCTTGAATTGAAATGAATGAAAATGGACAAAATTTGTATGTTACATCTCATAAAAACATGAAAATTTCTAGGCATAAACACATGCGCACAAACATCATAGAGTCGGGATAACCTAACCCGGTTTTATTCTAAACTAGGCCTTTTGTAAACTAAGGCGGGCATGGTCTACAAAAGAACTAATTTAGAGGGTTGGGTCAATCTTAGTCTAAGTTTTGCCAAACACTTTTCTCCCCAAAAAGGGACTAGGGCCAAACCTAGCCACATTTTGAGCAGTTGCCAAACAAGTCCTAAAATTTCCACCAGAAGAACATGATGAATATTGTACATAATTGTAAATAATCAAAACTAAGAAGTTAGGAGCTCTAAGGACTACCTTTCAATGTCATCAAGGACTATAATGCTTTACTGGAATCTGTAAGCATCCTCAAAGGTCTACATTAGGATTGAAAAGAAGCGATCACTTCGGACACTGCCATGAAATAGTTATTCAAATAGGATATAGTGAAAAGAAGGAAATAAGAACATAAATATATAGTACTCTAGCAAAAAGAATAATACATGATCAATATAATAGAACATGAAAAAATTGGATGGTTAATGAATAAACGTAAAGCACCAAATATGTATTGGATTATATATGTCGATTACTTAAAATTTTATAAATATACACACTCAACAAAAATCTAAATATTTGAAAGAATAGATAAATACTTTCATATATATTTTAGTTCTCTTAGATTGTTTAATGGATGAGTAGGATTGTAAGCAAAGACAACTAAGTCACATCTACAATTAAAAATGTCAAAAAGAAATTAAAAATTTTGAGATATTTCTTTAAAATGTAAAAATGTCAAAACATCTTTAAATAAAAGATTTTGAGAAAACAAAGGTGTATGTTTTGCTCATCTTAATATTTGGATAGAGTTAAGAGATATAGTGACGTCATAGCATTCTTTAAAGAGGGAAAAGATGAGTTTTATACAGTTTTCCAAAATATGCCTCCTAGAAAGACCGAAAAAAATATTTTGAGGGTAACCTAATGCATATAATACAAATATTTGAATCCAGTTATGTTGATTAAAAGTTTGAAACATGACACCAATATAAGATTCATTAGTCAGAAGGATGCCCAATGTGAGCTTTTCCATATTCCTAGACAGCAAGAAAAGAATTCGGGAAATGCACTAAAATATTTGCAACAAACCTTGACAATTCGTGCACATTTAGTGTTTTCGCTGAGACCAATCATGGATTCTGCAGAAATCTACCATAGAAAAAAATAAGTTTCATCGTTAAGGAGAAAAAAAACATAAGTGGCACAAAATATATGGACTTATGATCTTGACATTGGGGAAATCGCTATCAATACGAGTCATTGCTGTCATTGCCTCTTACCACTGGATGCAGGAGGGTGATATAAGAGGAATGAACAACAGACAGACTAAGGTGAAGAAAAGAGCTATTGTGGATCCTACCAGGCACCAGGACTTTCCAAGAGGCAAGTAACAACAGGGCTGCCTTTGCTCACTTTAACTTGCTCCACGAGTAGCATAGCTTTTTGATAGATATGCTTGCGTCTCTCACCACAATCATTGATACCATTTAGTCTGCAAAAAGCTTGTAATACAGAAGAATAGCTGAGGTCATCTAACTGTTACGGTGCATCTATGAAGATAACATATACAGGAGTTTAGAATTTTACAAAATAAATACGAGTAGCAACTTGAGTGTACCTGCATCGCTCCAGAATAGGGCTGCCAAGGTATATAAGAGAAGTGCCTCGGACATCAAGCTATTATAAGTTCACCATGGCCTAATAGCATTGCTTTCCTACAATACAACAAATCAGAAAGAGAACAAGCTTATTGAATTAAATTCCTAATGCTGAAGCAAAGTATTAGAACACTGCTCCAGACATCTATCAGCGTGAGACTGAAATTGTTTAACAGTTTATCATACAACCCATAAGGGGCAGTGAATTACCTTAACAAGGCTTCATCCAACAAATCCTTTCGATTGGTCATTCCAATAAGTAGCACGGTTGTTTAAAGACTCAACACTATCTATCTAAAATGCAATCTCGGTTAGTTTTTAATAAGATGTACAGAAAAGAAGCTAAAATATGTTCAGTGGGTTCTAGCTGCACGTCTGCAGCTGAGTTGACTGCACAAATAAAAGCACACCTTTGTGAGACGCTGATTCACAATGCTGTCATGTACTCCAGTACCATCCTGCCTTGAACCCCTAGACTGTAGATTCAGAAAATTAGAAGATACAAATAAAACAAATGTGAGGAAACACAATTCTCAATTAACAGAAAAGCATTTATTATGACTGCAAATGCTTGCCATAATTACTAGAGTTTGTGTGGAAATATAGGCTTCACCCTAGTTGCCTGACAGTATAACTCTTTGTAGTTTAGGAGGTAAGGAATTTGTTCAGATGGTAATCTATGAATGGATTTCTGAGAGACGTAAAGAGTGCAATTTTCGGACATAATGCTGACAAATGTGTGAAAAAAGCCCCAAGTTCCCAACTAAGCAAGTAGGGGCACCTAAAAATTTGCCTGAGCAAGTTGTTTCTGGCAATGGAGATGATCAATGGAAGATGGGAGCACATAAAAGCAAAAGCTACGTAAGTGGAATCTTTGTCTTCTACAAAAGAAGGTTCTGATAAAGCTGCTAATATTTCTCAAAGATATGGTGTCCTGGGTGCTAATTCTTTTGCTGTATTTATCAAATATAGAAATGATTTTGGTCCTGGGGAGAATATTGTTAGAGAAGGCCTGCCAGGTCGAAGGGGAATATTAGGTCTCAAGAGGAGTTGAAAGGGGAAGGAGAACTTCTTGGGGGTAAACCTCCTCTCTCTAACCCTGGATGATTAATTTTGGATGTTAGAATATTAAAGGACTTGATAACCCTCATAAATAGAAAGATTTTAGAAAATTTCTTGTATATATTAGATTTTCTTTATTTGCTCTGGTTGAGACAAAATTGAAGAGAAATAAAGTCCAGGAAGTTGTAACCCATGATTTTGTCCATTATTGTTCATTCAGCTGAATGACAATTAATTATGGCTATTTCAAAAATATGTGATTTACAGTTTTGATAGTTTTAGCCCACGATATTGGCAATTTTTATTCCTTTTGTCCTAGTGGCAACTAATTATACATACAATTTTTATTCCTTTTGTCCTAGTGGCAACTAATTATACATACTTCAAAAATTCACAACTTTCATGGGTTATAACCCATGATTTTTGACAATTTTTGTCTGATTCAACCCTATAGTAGCTAATAATGCGTACTTCAAAGTTCACGATTTTCATGGGCTATCACCCATGATTTTTAAAATTTATGAATTTCTTGGACTATAACCGACGATTTTTTTCAATATCCATCTGTTTCAACCCAATGATAGTTAACTTTTCTTTCTTCAAAAATTGTGATTTCCATGAGCTACAGCAAACGATTTTTATTAATTTACGTTTTTTTGATCCAATGGAAAATAACCATGCATAACTTAAAATTCACAATTTTTGTGGACTATAAGCCACAATACATGTCTTTTTTTCTATTTCGACCAAATGACAATAAATTAGGCATACAATTCAAAATTCGCAATATTTATGAGTTATAACCCACAAGTTTTGTGCATTATCATTTATTAGACCCAATGACAACTAATTATGTATACATCAAAATTCACAATTTTTGTGGGCTATAAACCATTAATTTGGTTCATTTTGACCCAATGTCAAACAACTATTTGTACTTCAAAAAATCAAGTTTTTGTTAATTTCGCTTGTTATACCCCTCATTTTTTGTCTTTTTTGTTTGCATCGATCCAAGTAGCAATTAACTAAGAATCATATTTCAAATACCGCAATCTCATGGGCTTATAACCCACAATAGTTTCTCAATTTCATTATTTTTATTCCATGCTAGTTAATCATGCATACTAAAAAATTTGTGATTTTCATGGATTAAAATGATTTCATAGAATATTGCATGTCTTAAAAAATTTGCGAGTATCATGAGTTATAACCCATGATTTTAGTTTATCTTCGTAAGTGACAATTAAATTTTCTTTCATAAAAATCACTATTTTCATGGCTATATAACCAATGATTTTCTTCATTTTTTGTTGTTTGACCCCGTGGACAATAAGTATGCATATTTCAAAATTTGTAATTTTCATGTGTGATAGTCTATGATTTTTGTTCATATTTGTTCATTTCAACCCAATAACAATTGTATGAACTTCTATTATCGTTCATTTGACATAATGGCAATTAATTACGACTACTTTATCACAATTTTATGGATTATAAGTTATGACCCATGATTTTGGCAATGTTAGTTATTTTTGTCCCGATGGCAAGTAATTATACATACTTATTCATGGGCCATTACCCATGATTTTTGTTAATTTTTGTTCCTTTCGACCAAATGTCAACTATTTATGCATACTTCAAAATTCGCGATTTTTACGGGTTAATACCCACGATTTTCAAATTTCGCAAAATTCATGGTTATAACAACGATTTGTGTCAACTTTTTTTTCCATTTCAACCCAATGAGATTTGAGTTTTTTCCTTCAAAAATCACGTTTTTCATGGCCTATAAGCAATGATTTTCATAGACTATATCCCATGGTTTTTCTTAGTTTTCATTCATTTCAATGCAATGACAAATAAGTAAACGTACTTCATAATTCATGGTTTTCATGGGTTAAAGCCCATGAGTTCTATCATTTTTGTTTGTTTCAACCCAATAACAATTAACTAAGCATAAATCAAAATTTGTGATATCATGGGCTACAACCCACAATATTCGCTTATTTTCGTTCGTTTGGTCCCAATACCAATTAATCATGTGTACAAAAAATTCACAGTTTTCAAGGGTTATAACCCATTATGTTAGTCTACATTCGTTAGTTTCGGACCCATGACAATTAAATTTTTTTTCACCAAACTATGAAATTTTTAAGGGTTATAACTCATGATTTTTGTCAACTTTCGTTCTTCTAGCCAATGGAAAACAAGTATAGTCCATTTTTTCCATTTTTTTCGTTGAGACCAAATAGCAATTAATTATCAGAGTTCAATGTTCATGATTTTCATAGGCGATAACCCACGACTTTGGATTTATTGTTCATTCAATCCAATAGCAATCAATCTTGACTACTCCAAAACTCTCAATTTTGATGGTTATAACCCATGATTGTGACAAGTTTTGTTTACTCCGTCCCAATGTAAGGAATTATACATTCATGAAAAAACGCAATATTCGTGGGTTATATATAACCCACGATTTTGGTCAAATTTTGTTCTGTCTTTATGTGATGGCAATTAATTATGCCTACTTCAAATTTTTGGAGTTTTATGTGCTGTTATCCACCATTTTGAAAATTTACAATGGGCTAACATATTTTTCAACTTTTGTTTGTTTCGACTTAAATAACAATTAAGTTTTCTTTCAAAAATGGTCTTTTTCATGGACTACAACAAACAATTTTTGTCAATTTTCATTTTCAGACCACATGGCAATCATGAATGTGTACCTTCAAATTCACGATTTTCATTAGGCTTTAATCCATTATTGTATGTTTCAACGTAATGGCTATAAATTAGGTGTACACTTCAAAATTCACAATTTTTATGGGTTATAACCAGCAATTATTGTGCATTTTCACTTATTTCAACCGAAAGGCAACAAATTATAACACACATTTTTTTAATTTTCATTTGCTATGGATGAAGATAAATAAGTATGTATACTTAAAAATTCTCACTTATCATGAGTTATATCTCACGATTTTTGTCCATTTTTGTTTGTTCAACCCAATGGAAAATAACAAAGAATATTTCAAAATCCATGATTTCATGGGCTATAATCCACGATATTTGATCGTTTTTGTTGGATTCAACCCAATGTTGATTAATCATGCGTACCAAAAAAATTCACGTGCATCATAAGTTTATGACACAAGAGTTTATTCCAATTTTGCTAGTCTCGAACAAATGACAATTAAATTTTCTTTATTAAAAATCGTGATTTCATGGGACATAACCCGCGATTTTTATCAAATTTTGTTACTAGCATAATGGGTAACCAATGTGTACTTCAAAATTCATGATTTTCTAGGGTGATAATCTAAAATTTCTGTCCACTTTTGTTTGTTTTAACTCAATAGCAATTAATAGTGCGAATTTCAATATTCGCGACTTCATGAGCATATAACCCATGATTTTTGTCCATTACCGTTCAATCGACACAATTGCAATTAGTTATGACCACTTCAATCTCGCGATTTTGATAAGTTATAATACACGATTTTGGCAATTTTGGTTCTTTTCATCCTAATGACAAGGAATTATACATCAAAATTCACAATATCCATAACATATAACCCGCGATTTTTGTCAATTTCACTCGTTTCGACCAAATGTCAGCTAATTATGCGTACTTAAAAATTCATAATTTTTATGGGCTATTATCCATGATTTTCAAAATTCGCATAATTCAAGGGTTATAACCACAATTTGTATCAATTATCATTTGATTCAATCCAATAACAATTAAGTTTTTTCCTAAAAAATCGTAATGTTC